CTGTCAATTAACAATCTTTGTGTACTATTTGTAATAGATAATTATCCTAATTAAAGTTTGCTGTAAAATAAAGTATACTGAAAAATCAAATGAACGTGATATAATATTTTTTATTATAAGTGGAATTATTTAATGATAATAATATATTACACACATATAATGATATCTATTTAGCATTTTCTGTTAAATTGATAGAGGAAATATTATAAAATCAATATATTATCAAAATTTTTATTATCTGTGTAATACGTTCTGGGTCGGGTCAATTTTAAGTGATTTGGTCACCATCGACGACTCACTGTACTTTTGTTTGCATTTGTTATATTTGTACTTCGTAATGGTTAAAAAAAATTACAAAGTTATTATAAAGAACGAAAAATCCAGCGTAGTGTAAGATCACTTGTGACATTAATGTAGAAAAAAAAATATAGAAAAAAGTATTAAATTATCACTCTATTTAAAGCGATAAAATAAACCTTCTCTGTAATAACATGGACATAAATTAATAATAAAATTTTTTATTTCTATTTTGCAAATTATTTAAAAAGGTATGAATAATTTAATTGGATTTGATATAAATTAAATTATCTTGAGAGAAGGTTATTAAATCAAAGTGTTATATTAAGACAGAAATTAATACATCAGTTTCTCGAAAAAAAAAATCAAGTAATTTATGCTCAACTATATAACTACGTAAAAACTGTATGGAGATGAGATAAGAGTAGACTAAATACATTTGGAATAGTTAGATAAGACAGGATTAAATATTACTCCGCGTAGTTTTCTGAAAAAATGGCAGGGTGTAACGAATGCACACAGCCGTTTCGAAGAAAGACGTAATTCATCAGGACAATGTGTAATGGGGAGCGTGAGATACAATCTTCCCGTTATCTTCTTAATTAGTTTCATTTGGTAATCTCCGTGAATTCCTACAACATTTGACAAATGACATAAGGGGTTCTTACTGGAGGGATCTCTTACATCTTGCCTATCCCCGATCATAATAGATAACATTTTTAATTAAGCAACGTTTCTCGACGAACATGTTTAACAGAAGGATATTTATCTTACCATATGATAGGGGGTGAAGAGAATCGTTGGTTAACGAAAGATTTTACCGGAAAACGTCCTTTGCTAGACGGGACAAGTGAATTAATTCTTTAGACGCGATAAGAATATCCGTGTGAGAAAAAAAATCAATATAGAATAATATTTTATATAATTAATTAATTATAATTATAATTAATATATTAATTTGATAATTCTTAAAATCAGAAACATATTTTGTGTAAATAATAATCATTTACAAAGATTTAGTGATTTCCTGTATTTATGTAAGATTTATGTAATAGAAAGTAATTATAATTAATTATGTAATATTAAATGCTTTATTTTAAATTATTAAGTATTATGTTACGTTATAATATAAAACTATGTCTAAAATGTTTTTAGACAATTGGAAGAAATTATATTCTAAAATTTTTCTTTGCTATATTATTCTCCTTCGACTTTCTTTATGTTTTGAAGTTCTTTCTGAGTTTTATTTGACATACTTTATGTACAAATTTGATGACTCGCGATGAATCTTCAAAATTTATAAGTCTTAAATTGAAGATAACCTGGCAACACACAACAGATCGCGTTGTTCATACTCTGTATATGTTATAAAGATATAATGCTCATATATATATTAAAATATTTCAAAAATCCCATTTTCATTTCTAGCAAAGGGATAAAATATTTCCAAAATATTATTTAAATGAGTAATAGTTATTCCTATTTAAATGAATTATATTACACAGTTGTATTCTTAAAAAAAAGACATATATTAAATTAAAAACTAACTAGGGCAACGTAATCAACACCATGCACTTGTCTTTTCTCTCCTCAAACTACAGATTGTGCGTTTCACAAAATTTATACTCGTCATATCGCAAACTGATCAAAATCTTGGGCAGACTGACGGCAAGTCGAAGAGCTGTAAATAGGTCGGGAGAGTTCTGTCCGCTTTGCGAGTAACATGCTCTGTCGAGCGCCGAGTAACGCCGCAGGTCCTCAAATATACATGGATAGACTTCGTATCGGATTTCCCTAGCGGGCAGGAAAAGCGGCTCCGTCGGCACTTCTCCTCGCACAAATAAGAAGTTCCTTTGGCGACGCCCCATACACATCCCGTTTGTCCGTGAAGCTGCGACGTGAGCTTGGCAAAAGACAGACTTCAAGGTGTCGCGCTCTCCAGCATAGGTCTCCGGCGAATCCGCGCGCGGATATAGAAATCTTCTGAATTGCAAATTATATAGGAATCGCCGTGAGGAAACCGTAACTCCCGTATGAAATACTTAGCATGAAAACGGTAAGTATCGCGATTGAATGATTTAATCCCTTCACGCTCAATTTCACATATGAAAGGTAGTTTGGATTATGAGACGCTCGCCATAATCGTGTTTTCTATCTCCCTGCAAGAAAATTCAATAAATAAATTGTATCTTGGGAGAATTCCTTGCATTCAGTTTGCTGTGAAATTCCATAATTTTGTCTACTATTAGTCGTTAGAATTACGAAGAAAATTATCCATATACTTTAAATTTCAGAAAAGAAGAAATGTAGGTATGTCAAAATTAAGTGAAAGCACATGCTATATGCTAGACATTATTTTATTAAAAATTTAGTTTTAAATCTTTATATAAAAAGTTAATATATAATAAACACAAAATTAAGTAAGATTTAAATATAATGTATTTGATTATTGTGTAGGTGTTGCAAGGAGAGTACAAGATAATCTATTTAAGTGATCAGCTTTTAAAAAAGTTCTTGTATTATTTCTGAAACAATATTCCTAAGTACATAGTTTTTGTTGCATTAAAAAAAATGTAATATTTTCCTAACTTAATAACTTATGTAGAATTTAATCTTTTTTATTAAGTTAAAAATTAATTCTTTTTATTATTATAAATCATGTTTAATGAAAATGATATTAAAAAATATCATATTTATTGAAACGAATTATAAATTAATGATCAAAGATGATTTTTAATCGCATATTCTGTTTTAACATTTTAATTGCTTATAAAGTAATGGAATTTATTTCACAAAAAGTATAAAATTTTATTTCGACGAGAATAAAAATGATGCAATGATATAAATGCATTTACTTTTAATTATTTCTAATTTTATGCAAGTAACAAAAATTCACATCTATTTTCACCTAAATAGTAAAGTGCGCCTTTTACCAAAGATATTTTTCGATTGCTGACAAATTCTTTTATGTATTTATGTATCACAGTTCCTTCCCATTCCAGAAAGATAAATCCTGTTGACACAGGAAACGATCTTAAATCATTAACTTTAGAGGACTCTATGGAGATAAAGCGGGACGTTTAGCGGTCATCGATAATATCGTCGCGGAGACATCGTGTATCCCTTAATTCTATAGAAATGATTTGCCATCTCCTCGTGGTCTTTTGCCTCAGCAACCCCGTGAATCTATCTCTCCTCGGATTTTTCTTTCCTTTCCTTGCGCTCGCCTCGTCTCTGTCCGGTTGCCAAGTTCCTACGGGACTTCGGAAACCTTGCTGTTCACAAATCCTTTTCCTTGCCCCGATGGAGCAAGAAATGCAACTCTCCTTGGGGAATTAATTGCGCTGTAAAACGTAGATTCAAATCCGTGCTTCAAAGAAGAGAAGAGGTGAGATACGAGAAAGAAAGACAGCGACACCGTTTTCCTACTCTTCCGTCGTCCAAAAGATTTTCCCAAGATGGTTCTCTCATCTCGCCTGCAATCAGTGTCGTAAATTGCTTGCAATCGGTCCTGCAATTAATTCCAGCTCATCCTCAAGGATTTATTATTCTCAATAATACCATAATATTCTTGGTGACAAGACCGTTTCTTGTTTTGGCTGCTGTGTTTTCTTTTCGTCAAAGACAATTTTTTATTTCTTTTTATACCTGAAATTAATTAAATACGTTATTTTTGTTGAAAATTCTTTTTCTTTTCGTGGTATCGTTCGAAACTATGACAGTCTAACGTCTAATATTGTAATAAACACGAAAAAGTGAAACAGAGAATATAGATCTATTATTTATCGATGAATTTTTTGAACTGGTGCACACGGTATAAGTTGAATAAAAAAAACTTTATTCCTTTTACTTCAAGTTATTGCACCATGTGCATCAAGTGCAGTTCAAAGAGTTTTTCGATAAAGAACGGGCCTTATGCCAAATATCAATCAAAATTGACCTAATATAATAGATAGCTTATATCTAAAGGCGCATAAACATCTTCTCTTACCTTAATAACTTTCTTTTTCGAAAGAGCGACCGTCAATTGGAACTGTGGTTAAGTTTTTACCTAAGTTAGTATCTTTTAATATACGTGTATACATACATAACTATTTCATTTCGTAATGATTTAGAAGACACAGAAAATATTAGAAATAACAATTATACTCTTTGTTAACAGTTATACTCTTTGTGAAATATTTATATCTTTGTGTTGAATTAAGAAACAATTTACATTGTTGTTATACTATTATAGAATTTATCATTATCTTACAATTATTTTATCTTACTAATTATATTTGTATTTTTGCATTTACAAGTTGATAAAGTAATGTTTTTTGTTGTATCTCTGGAATTGACAAATGTTTGTACAGTTTCAAAACATATTTATTAGATTTTTAATAATTTTTATTACATATTTTATAATAAATTGTTAGAAGGAACAAATTCTGATGAATTTATCATATCTTTGAAAATTTCAATAACACAATGTTAAGTTTTTTAATCGAACATTCAGATATGATAATTGATAATCTGACATAATTTCATCACATGTTACATAAATTAATTGTTTAGTTACAATATTTATTCAAAACAAATAATGTATGCATACAATTACGACATACGTTTTTGTGCAACTTTTAATACATTATAAACATCTAATACAATACATTTTTTCATTTTATCATGGATAATTTTATCAGGAATTACACATAAATTAAATATATAATTAAAATAATTATTTCATTTAAAATGAATAATGTGCACACACATTCATGGCATACGTTTTTGAGCAAAAACCTGTAATACGCGGTACACGTCTATTACCGTGTTCTGATCATTTTTTTGTTTATAGATGATTTGTGTTTCTGTATATTTACGTGCAAATTCTTTTTTAAATTCTTCTTTCTTGTCGAATGGCATATCTTCAATGAAATCAAGAAAAGACACAATAGAAGCTGCAAAAATTATATCAAATAATTAACTGAATGATATAATCTAATTTAATATTAGAATTAAATTATATAAATTAATTAATTAAATAAAACTAAACAAATGAATTGAGAAGAGTTCAAATTACATTAAGATTAATAATTATACAGGATGTCCCAAAATTCGCTACTCAAAATATTATAGCAAAATATTTCTCGAAAAATTGAGTAAAAAAGATATTGCAAAGATATTTGCAAATTTTTATTTTAAGCAATAATTTTTGAGATAATAATGATTTATGATCTATTACAGACTATGCTTTGATAGCCACATGATGAGTGTATGGTAATATTAATAAACGTTGATGAACGCGTACTTCAGCGCGTTTACTAATATTCATAGGTGACTCTCTAAACGTAGTCTATAATTAGCCATTTATATTTTAGAATTTCTATTGCTTAGAATAAAGTTTACAAATAACTTTTTTTACTTAATGTTTCGAAAACTTTCTCGATATAATATTTTGAATCGCCAATTTTGAAACACTCTATACAGTTATAATTACTAAAAATTTAACTTTTATATATCTGTTTAAAGAAAATTACAAAAAAATCTGTCCGGATTTTCATCAAAATGGAACGTTTCCCGATGGCTGCAATGATTGACCGTAAATCCAACAGTTTCAAGCAATTCTTTTAATTCTTTGCGAGGATTGACTGACTTTTGAAATGGCCAAATGTACTTATTTATATCCTGTATAAATATAACATTTTATAAATAATAAAGAGAACAGAAAATAATCAATAATATGTATTTAAATGTAATTATTATTAAAACTTTTAAGATAGTGGTATACTTAAGTAAAATATTTACCGTTATGTATTGTGCAAAACGAGCATCATGTGCCGATTTTTCAAAAGCTTTAAATATATTATGAGATGCTACAAAAAGTATAAGCATAGTTCCATTGGGTTGTAGCATGCGATAAATATTCTCAAATGCCTGTCTATTTAATAAAGAAAAAAAATTTTAATTAATTTATATATATATGAAGAATATTTGTGTTTAATTGCTTCGGTTATTAAGTAGATTATTTATCAGTTTAAAATTAATTATTGGTAAATTAATTTACAATTAAATATTTTACAGTAATGTCTTGATAATTAAGATCTTTATTACCCATATAATTAACACACATAATTAAGGTGCTTATTAACATCAATAACATTGAACTGATTGTACATATTAATACGAATTTGAAAATGTAAGATCTTATTTCAGATTTTCAATATAAGGCTACATTATAAATTGAGTAGTAATTAAGCATAATTCGAAGCAAACGTTTATAACTTATAAATCGATATTAAACCGACGATCTAACTAAAAATGTCAAATCTGTTTATTGTGTATCATACGTATTTCAATCGTTTTATAATCTATTTTATAATCTATATTTATATTTACAATACCTATAAACTATGGAAAATTATTAATGTAATTATTCAAAAAAAATTTTAAACAAATATTAAAATATTAATTTTAAAACATATCGATATTTCATTTTATAACATAGCGTTCGAGAAATATTATTAATGATAGTTATGTATAATATATTTTTTAAAATTATACACACATTATCAATGTCATTCTGTGCATATTTATAATTATCGCTTATTTATAAAAATTTTTGTAAAGAAAACAAAACTATTTTTATTGATAAAACTTTTCTTACTTGATATCATTGCACCAGTGTAAAGCATGGAATGAAAATATGAAATCAAACTCAGATGTGTATTTTGTAGGCAAATTTTTAGTTTGTATATCTAAAACGTCAAATTCGAGTTTTTTCGGCACACTGTATTTTTTGTTCGCATAATCAATCATGTTTTTTGAAACATCTGTACCTGTTATAAAATAATTGAATTAACTGTACATCATACAATTCTTAAGTAATAATTGTCACATGTAACAATTTATTTTAATATATTGCTACATGTTTTCATAGAAATTATTATTTTCTTACCAATTACTACTGCATTTGGATCAAGAGCCGGCAAAATCATGTCTTTTATTATATCTCCAGGTCCACAACCTATATCAAGGCATTTTCCAGATATACTTTTTAGATATTCCTCAAATTCATCAATCACAGCAGATACTTTTTCCCTTTGCAAGTTATTATTTAAAGTGTACTTGAATGGATTGTGAGAATGTTTGTTCGTATCACTACCGTTGGTCGTCATTATTTAACAACAAGAATATGTTTTAAAAAATACTAGAAATATCTGTAACACAATCGAATGTATTAAAAAAATAAAGGTAGGTCTTATAAATTTATAAGTACAAATTATTATTTGTTTAATTTAATGCATAGGTATGTCAAAATACATGTATACATGCACATATATAATATTTTATTTGTAAATTTTTAGATAAGGTACTATACATGATGTTTTAATAATATGTCAGTATAAATAATAAAAATCTTATTGGACTGTACATGTGCGTACACAACCAATAGGAAATAAAGTCTGTAATGGTTAAAGCTGGATCTTTGGTGCTTAAATAATTGCTGATAAATATTAAAATCTGTAAATAATATTGCGAAAAATATTAACTCGGCCAGGGATCAAATTCAGATCTCACATTCCGTGCGAGCGTCCTAAATCTGACCATCAAGTGACCTTAGTAACAGTCTTCACAATAACCAGTATATGTATGGAAACAAACGTCTTATTTCAGGAGATATGTGTAAACAATAAGAATCTTATTTGACCGTATATATATACATAACCAACAGGAAATAAAACTCATAATGATCGAAGCTGGATTTTTAGTGCTTAAATAATTCAATGTGAATTCATATACTGCGTATCAAATCCTGCCAAACTGCGCCAAATTAATTTTTCAATCTTGAAACGTTTGCTACATAATTTAATAATTTGATGCAATAGGCATCTCAGAAAAATCCGAATTCGATCTCCGACCGAGGTAATGTGAATTATTCGGAATAAATTTAGAAATTTTTTAATATGTTTATCAGCATCATTAAGATCTTTCTAAATCTTAATGATGCTGATAAACATATTAAAATCTGTAAGCCTATCAAATTATTGAATTGCTACGCAATTTAATTAGTGCAATTTAACTATCATATTACTATGATAGTTTTGTCAGTTAGCGTTTCAAAACCGAAAAATTAATTCGGTGTGCAGTTTGACAGAATTTGAGATACGTAGTATCTGGAAACACGGTAGTATCTCGGTGCTAAGACAAGCACTTTATTTCCTGCTATGAGCATAACTTCAGAAATAAATTTAGAATGTGAAAATTATGTAAACATTTGTACTATATTGATTTTGTTTCAGAATACAAATATTTTCGTGTTTCATTCTCATTGCAAACTAAGTTAGCGTAATATTTTCACACATTTCTGTCTTTAGTTAATTATAAACATCTTCACTTAAATATAAATACAGTAACAAAGATAGATAATCACAAAAGAGTTCTGTATTTTTTAAAACTAATAATATAATTATGCAAACAAGATTGCAAGAAGAATTATGCTATAAGAAGTCAATCGCGGTAATTCGAGCGTAATACAATTTATTCTTTTAACCAATAACGATGTCAAATTCGATACATTTATATATAATTCGATATACTTATATATATTTATATATACATGCGGAATATTTTGTCAATCATTAATTTATCGTTACTGACACTACTGTGGATGACTCGAATCAAAGTTGAAACGTATAGTATATATTTGACATCATTATTGGTTGAAAGACTAAATTGTATTGCGCTCGAATTACCGCGACTGACTTCTTACAACCCTTGTTTGCGAGGGGGTAACCACTAGCTGAAATACTGACTCACAGATTACATGATTTCATATGATTTCATTTGATTACAAATAATTTTTTTCATTACATATGAAGTAATTTGGTAAAATATACGATTTTATTTAATATTATATATAATTTCTCATGGTCGTATATGTAATTATCGGATTATACATAGAGATTTCATATGAATTTTATAATGATTTCGAGAACTCTGTTCCACGATTATATTAAGTGGTTACCCCGTCGCTTGTTTGCACAATTATATTATCTTCACATAAATTGATACTAAACATCTAGATAGAAACCAGCTAGACTAACTCAGTTTATAATAAAAACTAGTGAAATAAAAACCTTTGCTACCCAGAAACAAAATTAGAAGTAGATCAAACGTTTATATAAAATTTTAGTGTCCTGAATTCCGAAGTTATGTTCATATATTATGAAACATTTTATACAATTGATAAAAGTTTAAGAATATTTTTGCTTATAGATTTGTGAAGAGAAATATTTTCTATATACAAGATAAAAATTAGATCAGGTTGTATTAGATTTGTACAAAATATTAAATTCTTACACAACATTTTACGTTTATATATTTTAAATAATATAATAAATAATAAATTAAACATAGTAGATTACTGTTTAAAATAAAGAAATGTTTAATTATATTTATAATATTGCGAAGTTTTTATACAAAAAAGTGCATTTCTCTAATTTTCTGTGATTAGTTATAACATTCATATACAACTATTTTAATACACAACTTTATAAAAATATTAAGAGATATATGTAAGAATTATATACGGAGAGAATTTTCTTTTAAAATTTATCCTGAAAATATAATACAATAGAGTTGTGGTACAATATAATATTTTGAAGATTTTTACCATATACTTCAATAAAATTGACCAAATTTATTTTATACTTTATTGTAGTTTTATTAATGAATAAGAGAGATTAATCCAACACGAATAATCCATCGAGTATAGTAAAGAATCAGAAAATTACCGCGTGTATTGAAGATTAATGTACATCACTTCCCTTCACTGAGATATAAATGAATTTCTGAACAGTAGTTGTTTTACTTATATGTCACGACATATAAGAGACATCTATGCACGAAAATAATAAAAATAAATTAAAAATAATTAAAAGATATTACAGAATATTATGTTTTATTAATATCACTGCTTTGCTTGGAAAACATATTAAATATTATTATATACTACAAACTTTTTAATTTAAAATTAAAACTAATGTTATTATATTCATTTCTAATTTAAATATCAAAATTTATAGACATAAATATGGGCGCTCTATTTGAAAGAGAAAATAAAACCCGTATTCGTAATCAAACAGAAAATTATCGCATATTAAGATACTTAACTTTATTAAATTTGTGCAAGACATATAATTTTTTTTTTAAAAGAAAGAAAAAGGTGTAATGCAAAAATTTAAACAATGATAAGCAATTTCCTTTTACAACTTTTCTACATATATATTATTTCTTTTTATAAATTCTTATCTCTTTATATACTGTATAACGATTATATGATTTTCGTAACAATTAATTACAGCTACTGTGAAGCACTACTTACATGAACTTTTATATTTGAAGTAAATTAAATCGTGGTTACTTTCGTTGGAAATTCTTATTCTTCCGTGCTGTCCGTTCGTGGTTCCGTTCGCCTGACGTCTGATACTGTAATGAATATGCAAACGACGCGAACCGAAGTAAGGTAAAGAGTAGGTATGCCAAATGTCGTATGAAAGTTATATATTATAAATATGACCAAGAAACTCGTCATACATCTGAATCATTAGCCGGTATTTAGGGGGCATGTTTATTTTTCTACTGAGATAGGACTATTTTCTTTGCTGAGATAGAACTATTCCCCTAGATCCAATACAATCCAATTGGCGTAAAGCGCTCATTAAGCGCTGATTTCTGTTAAACGCAGCTATTTGACAATACAATGAACAGATATTGAGATCAAACGCATGCGCAAGTTTTAACTGAAGTTTCTTCTTTTATTCGTTATCTTACTTGTATGTTTTATTTCTAGCATATCTTTCTAACATTCTAACATTTAAATACTCTAGTAGGGGGAAACGGGATCATAACGCTCAGTGGATCGGACCGATCATCTTAATAATGAGAATTCTAACGAATAATATAGATTGCTTTTTATTTAATGTTTTACTTAATATAAAGTTTATCTAAAATAATACATTATTAAGCATATATGAATAACTACAAAAAAGATACATTTGATGAAAATTTTCAGTAATAATTCATATAAAAAGTAATGACATTATAATAACGTTTTTAGCATACTTAAATGCATGTACACAGTATTTTATGATTACTAAATGTAATGTGATTTTTAAAATTTTTCATATAAAAAAAATTAAATATAATTATCTACATTTTTTATTCTTTACAATTTTTTTTTACTACGCGGATGATCGAGATCATGAAAATCATGGAGCGCGGATCGCGGCGCTCAGGCGTGCGCCGCGAAAAAGGTTAAGTATATACCCATGTCTATGCTTCATAACTTGCATAACATAATTTATAATTGAAATTTATAATTTTTAATTTATAATAAATAATTGCATTATCAACAATGCATGTTGAAACTATTATTATAATTAAAAAATGGGTAATATTTTTCACAATAAATTTATTTAGTTTTTCAGCACATTTACATCGATAAATAAAAATTTAATACATCTAATAATTATTTGAATGTAGTTTTCTTTAAAGCGATGATCCTGTACTATATGTCTCTGCAACAAATTTGATAAAAAATCAATTTTAAATGAAAATATTAATAAAATTTCTTAAGTGATTGCCCCCACCCCATTCGCTCTTATCAATATGCTATTAAATAATCTTTTTTTAATTAAAAAAATAAAGTATAAACTTTTAATTTGTATTAATATATGTCTAATGTATGTACATATATTATATTTTACAGCTTTTTAATTAAATACGTTTTTATGTTTATGTAGAATATGTTTAAATAAGTTTCTTATAAAAATTTTAAATCTATATTCGCAATTAATAATTGGAAAAATCATTTCGAAGCATCAGATTTATTATCATATTTAGTTTTACAAATATGCAAATATGTATTAAATTTTTATAAAATAAAGATCTTGCAGTCAAATAATATTTAATTAAAGTATATAGGCTTATATAGATCGTAATTATTATACATACGCTTTATACATAAAAATTTCATTTTTGTAATATAGCAAATATCAATTTAGATATAAGATTCACATCTTATTCTAATAATTATAATCCAATTCTTAATAACTTATTCCGCTGTAAATTATGTATTTAGTAATTATTAGTATTAATATTATAAGATATTAGTATATATCAGTGCGAAATCTGTTTAAAAAATAATGTTACAATATATAAACGTCTTATTCTGTAATGGCTTATCTTTATGCAATTGTTATACATTCTTTTGTGCATAAACTACTAACGCTTTACATCGATCTAATACAAGTTCTTGATCATTATGTATTGATTTATAATAAATCTTTCTTCTCATATATTCATATGAAAGTACATTCTTAAATTCTTCCATCAAGACATATGGCATGTCTTCAATAAATGTCAAGAGGCATATTAGCGAATCTATTAAAATAAAAAAAAAATATATATTATATATACACGTACGCACACATACATGTGTGTGAGCAAAAGTCTAAAATCAACTTATATGACAATTTTAAGATACCCTTAAGAGTTCTTTAAGAAATACCGTCAAAATGTTTCACAAAGAACAACTGAAAGATATCATAAATTTCTTATACATCGATTTTATCCATTTATTCGACAATCTTTAGAAATTAATCTTGTTAACTAATGCGAAGATTGTAAAATGGTACAGGACTTTTCGACTCACAATCATTTTTTTTTTTATTGAGAATAGCACTATATATATGATTAGTGGAAGTTATTTCGGATATATCCTTTATATACATAAGTATAAAATTAGTCAGTGATAAACTACAATATACATAAATAAAATTATATGAAAAAAATTCTTCAAAGAACTAGTAATACCATAACGTAACATTATTTTTTGCTTATTTTAATAAAATGACTTACTCAAAAACTGCTGTACCATCGGTTTTTCGTCGGAGTATATCACCTCCCGAAGACTGCAATGATGAACTGTAAATCCGACACTTTGAAGTAGTTCCCTTAATTCCTTACGAGCATTTTTTGATTCTTGATACGGCGAAACATTTTTCATCGAATTCTGCATGAAAAGTAATTATTAACAGCTTATAATATAAAAGTTACGATGTGATAAAATATATTATAAAAATAATAAAAATAGTAATAATATAAATCAAATAATAATTATAATTCAATAATATATTACTTAATAATTTAACATGTATATTATAATTTACAGGTATGTATTGTGCGAAGCGGACGTCTTGCTCCAAAAATTTTAGAACCTCAAATAAATCATGAGATGCTATTATATACACAAGCATAGTTGCATTAGGCTTTAGCATTTGATAAATATTCTCGAAGGCTTTTCTGTTAAATAAAACAGATAAATTTGTAATTAATTTTTAAAGAACACATTAATTAATAAATTAAATAATTATTAATATATTAATTTATACATTTATTAATAATTAAATTAAAAAGGTCTCATTTAATTTAAATAATTAAAAAATGATAATGAAAGTAGGACTACGAGTGCAAGGTCTAATGCAAATTTATTAAACACAATAATCAAAGTTTCATTCTAACAAACGTTTCGACTCCATGATCGGATCATTCTCAATGTTAATAGCTTTTATACATATTTAAATTTAAATCGGTATATCTTGATTGTTATCGTTTTACATTAATAATATTCCAAAATCAAGTATATCCTAATAATTATAACTCGCGACTAAACGAATTTCTTGTCTGTCACATCCAGCATGTGTTACACATATAGGCCGAAAGTATAGTGATAATAGAGTCCAAATATTTTGATTATTATGACATTTAACATTAATTCTGAAATTATAATAGTACATACGATAAAAACCAATACTTATAAAAATTCTGAATTGAATCAGTAGGACTAAATTAAACATATGAGTTCAAATCACAATCAAAAATATTAAATATACTAGACTAGAAATGAACGATATGCATATTCAAAATAACAGTCCATTATATAAATTTACAAAAATACCTCGTGAACCGTTGCAATCCATTGTAAATACCAGAAACCAGAATTAAGATATTTTGCAATAAGAAATCCAGAAACTCAGTTTTCTTAACCGTCCTAATTTAGGAAAATTTTTAACAGGAATTTCGATCTATATTTGACAATGTATAGACAGAAATAATATACCAAAAATTGGCTGCTGCAGTCAATTAAAAATGATATGCCATATTTTACTATTTAATTTGCTGGAGCAGCTAATCTTTTCTTTCAATCTATATATACATTTTTTAAAATTTAGTCTTATTGATTAATTTCAGAATTTTTATAAGTATTAATTTTTACCGTATGTTATACTGTCATAATTTTATAATTAATATTTAATATTATAATCAAAATATTTGAACTCTATTATCACTAAAATTTCAGGTTATATGGACAACCCATGCTAGATGTAACAAGAAATTCGTTTATTCACAAGTTATAATTATTAAGATATATTTGATTCTGGAATATTATTAATTTAGAGCGAGATGACAATCAAGATATACCGGATTAAATTTAAATTTATATAGAAGCTGTTAAAATTGAGAATGACCCGATTGGGATCGGAACATTTGTTGGAATAAGACTTTGTTTACTGTGTTTAATAAATTAGCATGCAGACTTTTTGCTTGGTTCGTGGTCCTATTTTCATTATTATTTTTTGACATTTATTAATATATATTTAAAAAATGTTTTTCTTAATATAATCATGCAAAACATATGATAAAATCATATACTTTCCTCTATTATGTTCATTATTCTTTTAAATGTCATTATATGATTGTCATTATATTCTTTTAAATGTTATTATATGATCACTATATTATTATGATATCAAAGAAATATCAAGAAAGTTATTAGCAACAATTACGTTTAAATGTAAAATAATATCGTGTGCATAAATTTATTTGTAATGTTTTATTCTAAAATTGTTTCATGCGTACGTACAATACGTTTGGAAGAAAAAGTTAATTACTCTTGTATAAAAAGGTTATTAAAAAAGTTTATTTAATAAGGCTTTATAATATTTTAGCTTAAATTATATTTTATATGACATATTGCTTACCGAATGTCTCTGCACCAATGCAAAGTTTGAAACGAAAATATGTGATCAAATTCAGAAATATATTTCTTAGGCAAATTTTTAGTTTCAATATCCAATATTTCAAATTGAAGTTGTTTTTTGTCACTAAATGTCTCATTCGCATATTTGATCATGGTCTCCGAAATATCCGTACCTTCACAAAATGCAAGCGTTGAAAAAAATATATAATTATAACGTCAATTTTTGTTATTATATTTCTGCAGTTTATTATTCTTTTACCAATTATTTGTGCATTTGAGCCAAGGGAGGGTAATAGAAAATCTTTTGTTATATCTCCAGGTCCGCAGCCAATGTCCATACACTTTCCACGTATATTTATTAAATCTTCGCTAAACTCTTCGATTATAGATGATATTCTATTCTTTTGAACTTTGTCAAATTCACTGTATATTCTTGGATTCTCCATAACTGTGTCAACTTCAGTATAGTAGTTTTGGACGTAATATGCTGCGATATTATCAACTTACAGCAGATTTACAGCAGACTTATATACTCAACGCTGCCACCTAGTTACCAAACCAAAAAAGTAAAATAGTTACTAAGATCTACTTTGTATTGTATAATAAAGAAAGTGACAAAGAATGATCTTTAAACATTAAAATAGTGTCAAAAAATGATATTTCTTATTAATTTGGTATAATTAAGACTATTAATTTCCTCTATAATGAGGCATATAATAATTTGTGAGCAATTGTAATTAGAAACATTTAGGCTTCAGTTTAGGAATGTATCTGAGTCGTTTTTACAAATGTGTTAATATTTATACTTTAAACAAACTGTATATATGTATAATTAAAATCGCTATTTTTTAACCATTATGACCTATCTATGATAAGATTTGTGTACATTTAGTTAAAGAAACGTCTGCAAGCCTTATCTATCGTAACTATCCTAAGTTATGCAATATCTTAACTTATCTTAACTTACTGTTAATGATATATAAGACGAATATAAGACAATATAAGACGAATAGTCTTATATACACGTATATGTATACATAAACAGTAAAAAAATATTTTTCACATAATTAGAAGTGTAAACTAAAGTTAACAATAAAATAATATGTAAACAATAAGTTTGGTTATATATATTAATTACTTCAACAAATAATAGAAGTTTGGAATCATTTTTATGAAAATAATAATTTATAAAAAATTATTTACGTAAATTTGGCGATTTTTTTATTATATAGTAAATAATTAAATCTTACAAATTTTAAAGTAAGAAATATGTAAAACAAACTCGATGAGATAAATTAATCGTTCAACATTGAAAATTATTGAATTTCTTGTTTACATTAAAAAAAATGGTAGGGTAGAGCGGGGCTATTTGAGCATAGGGGCAAGTTGGTCAAATGCAAATATTTAAATAACTAAAATATATATAGATACGTCTATGCTTGCGTAATGTAGCACAAAGACAGAGATTATTGTACCTTAATACAATAATCTGTGTCCGGTTATCAACAGCCAAATTGATATGTTACAAGCCTTACGATTCTGCTTAGAATTTATGCAGAAGTATAATAAAGTTATTTTATGGAAGATTATAAAAATTAAAATTAAGAATATCATTAGAATAACAAATAAGTTAATCTGCTGAAGAATTGATCTTTGGCGTTTTACAAATCGATATACATTGCATCAATGATCTTATCATGTTATTGACAACCACTTATATAAGACTTATATAAGACTGCACTGAAATGTGACTTCCTTTACATATAAATGAAGCTCGTGGTTATGAACGAAATTAAAAGTAATGAATGATTTAACTAAAAATTAAGTTACAATAGCTACTTAAATGTAACTTACTTAAATGAACATGTACATTAAATTTCATAAATTTTCATGAAAAATACGTTAAATTTCATGTACATGTACACAAATACACTTTACAGTTATAAATATATTAAATTTAATGTGATGTTATGAAAATAATTCAAATTGTGTAAATTAAAAGTATATTAAATTTCATGAAATTTTTAACAGTGTAGTATTGACAATTCCTTGAAGTACTTACATTAACAAGATGATATACACTATTTATTAATTTCAATTTAGCCCTAGATTCTTTTATTTCTTTGTAAAGGATGAACGTGATACATGTATTTTGCACTGCAAAAATGAGTACCTACTGCTATACAAATTTTCATACGTCGTATTTATATATTATTTATATAAAAATCCTCGGAAACTGTAGTTTTCGAAGGAACGGGATTAACCGGATTAGCCGGGTAATGTCTCCGTGAAAATAAACAAAATGCTCAAGGTCATGAGATGCTCGTAGTGATATGCAAAATATACTGTTCTGAAATCGATTAATTAACATCTACACAATGAAAAAACTTCGGTGTTTACCTTATGTGATACTGGGAAAACTTGTGAATAGGTGTAAAGTGGTATCATAATTGACTTCCAGGAAGGAGATATCGATCGAAAATTTACCTTAATCTCTTTGAGAAATACACGATATAGTTTGCAAGGCAAACAACAACATCAGTGTTCTTTATTTACATTGTATGCAGCGGAAGAATATGTGTTTCGTGAATCGTTTTAAAAAATTTTTTAGAAATTTTAATGATATTATGTTTTGTGTCAAATTTTGTGTCGCTGGTTTTATTTGTATAAAAACTTATTGTACAAATAAAACTGGTGATATAAAAGTTGATATAAAGCAAAAAGATAAAATCAAACATTATTTATGAGACAATGGATGAATGACAAAAAAAAAAGAAAATATCTATCACAAGATTTCGAAAATGTACAAGTATTGTAATCAATTTCATTGAAGTATAATGACAATTATAATTATGCTTTTCTGTGTCATAAAAAAATCTCCTTTTAAAATATTTAATATCTGTGTTTTTTTAAATAAATTGAAAACTGATTGTAATGTGTGTAAACTTGTTAATGTGTGTAAACGTGTATATAAGCTGCGAGTAGGCACGAGTATAATAATATTGAAACAATATCAAATAAAAGAGAAAGAGAGAGAGAGAGAGAAAGAGAGAGAGAAAAAGAGAGAGAAGTCAGAAAAGTCTTTCATTTTGTACCCATATTATTCAATATTTCATAATATACTTAACAAATGATTAGAGGAAAGTCGTCGCGATATCGACACTTTATTTTTAGACAATATTTCTTAAACAAAAGGTAAAAATAAAACTTTACAAACCTAAGTACAAACTGAAAAGTGTCTTTTATCAGATAGTATAAGCAGTTTTTATAATACTGTTTGCAATTTTGCAATAATTAATTTTTTCATAAGGTAAGTAAAAATGAGCGTCTGACAAAATGGGCTCCAATTTATTTTACAAGCATTATCTGTAAAAAGTACCTACAAATGAATGTATATAAGATTTTCCAGAATTTTTTCATTTCGTTATAAGACATTTTTATTGAATTATATGCATATTTATTTTATGCTGTTCTGCAAGATACAAATATGTAATGCGAAAGTTTTTCAAGAATTTTTCCACATATGCACGATTGTCTTCAGCTCCAATACATTTATTTGACACTATAAAGCACTATTATAAAGATTAAATTAGCTCATGGTCTGTTTTACAGACAGGTATGGTGGTTTAGGCTGCATCCCAATTTTAAATTTAAAATCGTATTATGAAAAGAATAAGAGAAAAAATAATATAAATAGAACTGATTTAGGAAACTACAAGCATTTAAAATGACATAATATTATCAATAATATAGTAACTATTATTTAAACCACGCAATTTGCAAAAGAAAATCGTAAGAATTTTATTTTCGCATTCGTAGAATTCGTTTTTAGCTGATTTGGTATAGAAACAAGCTATAAATATACGAATTATGAGTTTGTACTTCTTTAATTAGAATTCTTAGAAGATTCTAAACAGATCATGATTTTATTAGTATTAATAAAGTGTAATAGTCAGTTTCTAAGAAATAAGGGGGTGTCACTTTAGGAGACCTGTGTCAGTATCGGCGACTTTCCTCTATATACCTGTACTGCCCAAATTTTATTCAAATTATCTTTTTATGTTACTAATGTGACAAATGCACTTTTATATTTTTACTATTATATTATTATCGTATTTCTCCTTTTCTTTGTTTCAATTTTTACTTAGCTGTAACCACATGTAACTAAACTTCAACTGACTATGTCATCTGTTTAAACATGCAATACGAGGAGCATGGCTACATGATTTGTTAAAGTTGTTCCCTTTAAAGGAATTAAATTAAATAGCTAATTTTTGGTCTCGCTATGACTATAAAATCATACGTTTATAATTAATAATTTTTGGCTGTCAATGCACATACATAGTATAGTTCATTGTAATGAATTCCACTAGTATGAATATACATGTATGTGTTATATGTGTGTGTATATACAGGGCTTTCAACAACCATATGCGTACATACATACTAACTAATGTATAATTAATTAATATCTATATATATGCAATATAAATGTTTAAACGTTCGCGTGCATTAGATATGTTCACGAAAATATTTATACATTCAGTATTACAAAATCAAGAATAACAAAATTTCAGTAGAAGCTTCGTTTTTTAATTATAATAATTATAAAAATGTTTAAACATTCGTACATTAAGCAGTTTTACGTGCATATTTGATCATTTAGAATTGCAAAATCGAGAATAATAAAATTTCAGTAAAACTTTGTTTTTTAATTATGAACATTTACATGCATTAGGCACATTCACAAAAATATTTATATATTCAGTATTACAGAATCAAGAATAACAAAATTTTACTTTTTGCTGTGTATTTTAATTATATAATTATAAAAATTTATAAACATTCGTGCATTTGGCACTTTTACGTACATTGTTAGAAATTTCTTAATGACTTTTAATTACTATAACATGTAAAGGAAGCTTGGTTCAAGCCCAAAATTTCTTAATGACTTTTAATTATCATGTAAAGGAAGCTTGGTTCAAGCCCGTCAATGAAAAATAATGAATGTTGTATATGAATATTCATTTACTGATGTCTTAAATTTCATTAACATATGTGTTACTTTTAATGTATATTTTTATTGAATTTAATATACATTACTTTTACATGGGATATGTGTGAGTGTGTGTGTATATATGTATATATATTTCACGCATATTGCAGCGTCAGCTAAAAGTCACTGCAAATTACAAGCATATATAATACTTTCATATATGGTACATATAAGAATATAAGAATGTGAATTCATCAATGGAAGTATAATGTTGATTCTACAATGAGTCAGAAATCTCAAATCTTAACCAGCCTTAACCTAAATAAGTGACTATGATTTTTCCCATCTACAAGCTGTTAATTATACAGCAAGTCGTTTAGCTCGACTAATGGGAACGAATAAAATCGAATTTGATCAGACTTAAGAAAATCGGTTATAATCTTATTGTTAGTCGTACAAGTCGACTGTTGACCAACTTCACCGCGATTCATCGATAAGACCGACTACTACGCGATTCATTATAGAATCAACATTATACTTACATTGATGTACTTACATTCTTATATTCACAATATGCACTAATAAACATAGCACTTTTCACGGCAATCATAATCTCGATACAAGCGGATGTCCAGAATAGTCTAGAGATCAGTAAAAACAGTTGGTGGGTTTGTTTCGCACAATCGCCGCGAAAAGCGCCAAAATTTAATGAACACGTACATTAAAGTTTACTTAATATACAGTGAATTGAAATATTATTTATCTCCGTATATTAAAAGTAGGGTAGGACGGGGATAGTTGAGCCACTTTTTCTTTAAATTATTATAAATCTTCACACAATTATGATAGACTAATGGTAAATGCTTTAAAACGTTGTATGTTTATCTACCTCAACAATTAAGTACTTATAAACCCTTAATATATCTCGTAAATTCGAAAGAAATTACGTTAATTGCAAGGATGCAAAGTGGATCAATATGCCCCACCAATGGGGTATATTGGGCAACTCTGAAGGGCAAGTTGAGCCATGAAGGTAATTAAGGTGTGTATTTAGGTATGAAGTAAGGATGTTAATAAAATTAGGTTTATTCAATGCGTTTTTGCACGAAGTGAATGAATCTGGCAAAAAAGAGTGTCCCGCGAACCAAGATATTAATTGTTAAAGTTGACAGATATTCAGGTTATGAAACCTGTCATATCGATGGTTATACAAATGGTTATATATATTATAAAAGGTTATACAAATTCTGTTTTATAAACAAATTCTCTACTTTAGAAACAAATTCTCTACTTTAGAAACAAATTCTCTACTTTAAAAATACAAATTCTCTGTTTTAAAAATACAAATTCTCTGCTTTAAAAATATACATTTTCTGCTTTAAAAACAAATTATATTTTATATATAATTTTTTTTCTGCACAGTAGAGAATTTGTGTAATGGAAGCAGAAAATACTTATTTTAGCTTAACTTACACGTTCTCGTGTCTCTTTCTGCCATTCATTGATGTAACAGATTTCCTAACCTATCGTCAACTTTAACGATTAATGTCTCGGTCCATGGGTCAGAATGACAGTTTTTTTACCAGATTCATTTATTTCGTGCAAAAATGCGTCGAATGAGCTTAATTTTATCAACATCAGAGGTAAGGAGGATAAACTTAACAATTACCGAAAGAATAGATTTCAATGTATAAGCGGGGTTAGTTGGGTCACTTGACCCAACTAGTCCCATACCGATGTCGGCTCAAATATGATTTTATAACAACAAAACTGTAAATCAAATAACAACTTTCATGTTGAAATTACAAAGTATACTAATAACTTGTAATAAAAGAGTATATTTGGTTTCTTTTAAATGTTTCAATTATTACGTAGACCAAAAAGAATACTTACGTAATGACTTTACTTTCACTACACAAAACTAAAAAAGCTGTTATATCTTTCGACTGACGATCGAGCGAAGACGGACGTACTCAGCGCAGTAATCTGCATCTCCGTACTTGTCTGATGCAAGAGTGACGTGTTTGTACACGCCTCGGTTACCGATATATTTAACGTTGACCAATGTACCCCTATGCATATAGCCCCGCTCTACCCTATATTAAATTTCAATACACTTATATATTTTAATTTACTTGAATTTAATTTCATTAACATATACATTAAATATCGTTTCAGTTACGAGTGATTTAAATATCATTTACCATTGTATACTAAAAGTTCACGAAATTTCATGACATTTTTAATAGTGTAAATTAGACGTTTAAAATTACAAAATCAGGAATGATATAATTTCAGTAGAAGCTTCATGTTTTATTTAAAAATATCTAATAATCACCTTCCTAAGAATTTTTTACGTAACTATTTAAATATTTGTAAATAAAAAATGAAACCTACATCGTAATTCTATTATTCTTGATCGCCATCTTATTTTTTATCATACAGAATTATTCCATAGATTTTCTCCAACCTGTTGCCGAACATACCCTAAAATAACGTTAAAAAAAAATTAAACATTTGAAAAAGTAAATTTGTGCATATCAAACCCTTCAATTATATTTGAAACTTGACATGCTGGTAAAATTTGATTTGCGACATCATTTTCAGCAGCCAAAAATCTATAAAGAACTTCTTGTTAGGTTCAAAATAATTTTGGACAGTAAACTAATGTTATTCTCATATGTGTGTACATTATCATATGTAAAAATAATTAAAAAACAAAATAACTTCTTTTAGATGCTAAATAATAAATTAAAAATAAACTACAGTGCTTAACCGCGGTATATCAAATTATTTCTATTGTATTGAAATGTTCATAGATGCACTTAAAGTGTAAAATTGTACTTTTTATAAATAAGTATTCCTTATTTGCTTATGTGTCGTAAATAAAATTTTTTATATCACACGCGCTCACTCAAATTGGCATAATCAATGAATTAATTCAATAATATCAAGTCCTGCTATATATACATTCGATTATCATAAACTTTACATTTTTTTTTAATTAAAAAAGTAAAGTACAAACTTTTAATTTGTATTAATTTATGTCTAATGTATGTACATATATTTTGCAGCTTTTCAATTAAATACGTTTTTATGTTTATGTAAAATATGTTTAAATAAGTTTCTTATAAAAATTTTTAATCTATATTCGCAATAAGTAATTGAAAGAATCTATTACGTCCAGTAGACTCCACGATTTCTTCGTTTCGCAACCGTTCGATCAATAAAGTAAGATATGAACAAATTCAATTGATAACACAAATAACTTTGTGTTATCGATTGAAGTAACTTTCCCAACGGGAAACTATGTTTATTTAGAATTTTTTAGAATAGTTTTTTAGAATAGATTTTTTTAGAATAGAATATAGTATAGTTTAAACTACATTTCTAAGAAATTAAAAAAATTCATTGAAAAATTTTATCATCATTTTGTCTTTGTCTTTTATTATATAATACAATACGGTAGTGTGACGTCAAGAACGTAAAAATATAAAATAAAACTGGGCATGTGACCGCATGATGCGAAGGGGAAGATGGGGGAACTGTGCGCAGCGGGTAATTGTGCGTAAAGCAAAAGTCGTAGGAAATGAATGAATTATGGAATGTTGACAAAGAAATCAGAAAATATATTTATTATATTGCAATATAAATATATATTAAATAGGGGAGAATGGTCTAAAACGGACCGTGTTCCAAATAGGACCTTTTTAATTTAAACGAATACGGTTAAGCAGATTTGCGTACTATTTATAATGTAAAGTCCTTATAAGACACCGAACATGCGATAGCAGTTTGACAGTTCTCTGTCATAACATTCATAAAATAGAGGCAAATATGTATTTTCAGTCATCTTGCGAAAATTTTTTTAAAAAAGAAAATCCTTGTAAATCATTATTTAAAAGGTGTTAAAAATTTGGAAAGTAATTAATTTAAGATAATTAAAGAGTGTAGAATTCAAAAATATCAAGCATTTCGTGATCACTTTTGCGGTTTATTGTAAAATTTGTTCCAAAGTTCGAAAGGACCCGTGTCCAAATCGGACAGTACAGTGAATAACTTATAGGCCTGGTTGTAGTACTGGTGATTGGCTGACCAGATCTGGTGGTCCAAGCAATTAAATCAGTAAAATATCATGAGTCATCAGACTCAGATTAGTTGAGTTTTATTGATTTCAATTCTAATAATATAAATAGTCAGTAATTTTTTTTTCCGAAAAAATTTTTATCTTTGACTGTCAAAGTGCTCATTTTTACTCAATACTAAGAGAAATACATTAAAATATTTTAAAATTTTATCTAAAAATCCATAAAAATAAGAGTTTTCGATCTGTACCAGGGGATGGTCCGATTTGGAACCATCGGTTCCAAATCGGACTGGAAAGAGCGTTTTTACATTTTCCATTATAGTTCAACACAGGTGAGAAATACGTCAAAATATCCCCTATATTTTAAATATATATTATATATATTAAGCAAGCGCGAGAAATTTTTTCGCTTTTTCGTTTTTTTTTTTTTTTTGCTAAATACAACCTTATTGAATGAAAAGCTGTTCAATGTGAAGATACGTAATGGTAGAAGAATGTTTATAGTTTCTATTTCCATACTTATATCGCTTTGAACTTGGAAAACCATTCCAGGACAATAAATTTCCCATAGATGAGCACAATTCACCCACTTTCCCCTAATCATCACTGTGCTGTAATCAAATTCATGATGCTACCAATAACTTTATCCAAAATTTTAATATTAACAAATTTTCGATTGCAACTAGTGCGAATAAAATTGATGCTATCATTATTGAGAGATCGTGAGATCGATTCCATGAAATGTATCACTTCAACGATTGAAAATGCCTCGATTAGTCACACGCATAAACGCTCAGCGATTTGTCCGTCAAAGAGCTTTCAATATTATTATTAAAATTAGCAATGTAAATAAACATTAATATGCATACACATGCTATAATTATTCTCGATAGTACTGAGTGCTATTGCGCACTTGCACCTTCGATAGTATCTCTTTTCTGAACTGGGCATGCAGCTTAAAATTTCGAAGGCTTTAAAACACTCGCTTTAACATTTTTATTTACAACAAACAACGCATAAAACTTAATCAACGTATGAACAACGAATTGCACAACGGCACTTGGTACTGTTTGTTTGGACATTGCAACAACGACTATAGAAACAACTATCTCTCCCCTGTATAATCAGAGAGTAATGTATAATCATACTCTGATTATAACGGATAACAGAGATTATTTCATAATCAGAGTTATTGTATAATCAGAATGCATCTACCAACGTTGATTTGTATTCACACAAAAAAAATCTCATTTATATTTGAACCATCTATGTACATTTCTAATAGCATTTTCTTTTGGCTGCACTAGTGTACACTAAGGGTATGTTAAAGCCGTCGTACACAAAATTGACATAAAGGTGTATGTTTAATGTAAGTATAAAAATAGATTAAACTATGAAATCCTTAATATATTTTATTGTGCTGTTAAGTAAAATCTGTATTTTATAATTCGAAATATTTGAATTTTACTTCTACACAATTTAAATCAGTGTATAACAGCCTTAATATACACTCAATATGCAATCAAGGGAAAACGGTATAAAAAATGAGAAAAATAAAGTTTTTTAATTTTATCATAATTTATCTTTACAGTTTATCTCTTATAAATTATCAGTCAAGAATTACTACACGTCTAACAAGAATGTAATTAATGATCACGTTCTTTTTTTTATACTTTACATATTTGCGTAACAGACAATATTTTTCTTTTTGCGCAAGAATTAGACTTAAATTTATATAATATTCTAATATTTAGGGATGCATCGGATATCCGAAAAGTATCCGGTATCCGGTATTATCCGGCACTTTTTTACTATACGACCGGATATCATTAGTATCCGGGAATATATCCGGTTGAAATTTTATATCATTAAATTGTTGATTTGTTATTATACACATGTTTTAGAAATAAGTATGCGTATAATATCTTATACATTGTTGCAAAATTACAATTTTTTTTCTACAGCCTTTTTTTTAGAAGACAATTTTCCGAAATCCGGAAAATGTCGGATATCCGACTCGAAAAAGTTGCCTTCTCTGATATCCGACCGGATACCAGATATTCGATATCCGGTATCCGGTAATTTTACGATCCGGTGTTGTGTTGTGTGTTAACTTACAATTAAGTTAAAAAAAAAATTAACTCGTCCAATCCTGGCTACGAACACATTATTATTCATAACGTTACTTTCATGAATTATTTTGTATACTCTGATGATATGATTAACAAACGCGTATTGTAATTTAACTGTGCACAATAATCCAGCTTCGCATTAACTCTAGCTACATACATAATTTTTTTATTTATCATTATCTTGCCAGTCGTATGACTTTACTTAGAAGGCCTTGCGAAGAAATATAAAACTCAGCGTTCTTCAATCAAGCGAGCTATTTGCAGAAATACTAAACGAATAATATGTTATTCTACACGCTTAGTGCAATCTGCAGTATTGTAACATTTGGATTTTTCGTAACTGGAGAATATATGCTTCGTAAGTACAGTTTAAGAAATCGTAACCTTTGCAATATTATTGCGTATAGATCTGTGCTTCATTCAATCTAATATTTTATTCAAATAAAAAGTTTATTGAACAAAATCTATGCAGAATTGGCACAAAAGAATAACTTCAACAGATACATGATATGGTATTAAGATAGAAAACAAATGGAAAAAAATGTTCTAATGCAGAATCGATTGCCGCAATCAGTTTTATTGAAATATCTAAAGTTTTATTGTTATAAGTTTTATTGAAATATCTCCCCATAAAATAATTAGATATTCTTCTGTATTCGTTAATTGTCCCATTACAACAGTGTCACTTTCTTTTATTAGACATTTATTTCGTGCTTTTATTGAGCAAGCACTGTTCTCATTTATACTTGCGATAATAATTTTTACATGTACATACATGAGCCAAAAGTATCACGAATTATAAAAGAAAAATTATTTAATAATATGTTAAAAAAAGATTGAAAAAGAATTTGCTCTTTGTACTCGAAACATAAACATCTGCAAATATATGATAACATACATTACACTTAAAAAAAAAATAATTTTTCTTTCATATTTTGAAATATATCATATTTTGAAATATATCATATTTATATATTATATTGTTAAAATAACTGCTGTGTTTTTATATTTTTACTCGTACTCTAATTTACTCTATTTTTATTTCCAATTAGCTGTATCTACCTGCAAGCAGGATGCAGCTGATAATTCAGCCTGTTTAAAACGAGCTTTCGAAGAAGCATGGCCACGATTTATTGCAGGTATACTAACAATTTATAAGTTCTCATTAGTCTAATTTTAATTTTGTAAATAAACTATATTTACATTACACTATATTAATATATTTACATATGTACATAAACTATATTCACATAATTACATTATTGTGTAAGAAACGCTTTTAAATCCATAAACCAATATGAATAGTGAATTGTGATTTACATAAATTCATAAAATTTTAAGTTTTCTTTAAAGCAATTAAAAAAACAAAACTTTTACTATTTTAGCGTTACAAGTCCTACAGTAAATGGCGCGCAGTGTATACATATAAAACATAGAGTTGACTTGAATAGTATACTTGTATAAATATTATTAGGCCAAGATTAACCATATTAATCTTTTCTTTACTTAATTGATTTATTTATTTAGCGGTCTAAATTAACATATCATTATTTATATACATTGACCTTTCAATACGTTATTTCCTTATATACTAATACATAATTCATAAAATTTTATATTTAACTCTTCGTGGTCACACTTCAAAAAAATCCACACGATGATTACTCTGTTAAAATGATCCGAACTGTTCCTGAATCATTTTTGAAGTGTTACTAAATCAATAGTATTGGTTCCATTGACTTTAAAAAATTACAGTATACAATTTCATCCTTTAAGAAAATGGAACAATGGCGTCAAAAATTTAATTTTAATACTAAAAAGAATCGTAAACGTTAAATTCGGAAAAATGAGTATTTTCACTTAAAAAATCATAACTTTTTAAATTTATAATATTTTCAAATACAATTTTAACCTAATTCTCTTAAGATGATGTACTGTAAAAAAAAAAAATAGTATTGTTACACGGCGTTTCAAAAGAGGTATTTATTTTGAAGGTAGAAGATGGTCGCTTTTTAGGTGTACAAAAGATGTTAAATTCGGGTAAAAGGATATTTGTCTTAGCGACGAGTCACTACTATGTCTCCTGATTTATATTATTGGTTCAAATTATTATTAATGTAAAAATCATTATTATTATTATTATTATTAATACTGTAGACAAATATAAGTGAAAAACGTAAAATGTAAAAAAATACATAGAAAACGTCACTCTTCGCTACAGCAATCTCAGTACACAAATACAGTCTGCTCTCTAAATTTAAATCAGTAGATAATCACTGATTCAGTGCCAGATATGCCACTGTTAATTAATGATTGAAATATGGTATCCCTAACCTAGTGAACCTTGCTTCAGTGTATAAGTGTAGCGCATTCAACGTATATATGGTATTGTAAGATTGGAATGTTATAATGTGCTAAAACATGCAAATATCGATATTTTAACTATATAATGCTCAAACTTCTTTTCTTTTATATTTTAATTTCACTGATTATCCAATGCCAAATGTACTAATATGATATGCCGATAATTCAGTACCAAGTATTGCCACTTCAAATTATCCACTGATTCAGATTTAGAGAGTGTGTTTATTACACATGGGTCGTAGACACAACGGACATTTTTTCCTCATCATTTTTTATCCTTACTTGAAGGACATAATCCACATCTTGTTTATTTTTGCAATTTAATACAAAAATTCGGAAGATTCTGAAATGCATAGCATGAAAGATGATGCTCGAATCATTTTGACCCAGAAGGACCACGAAGGATTAAGAGTCTTAAATTTTCCTTAAAATAATAAGGAATAGAAATCTTTTTAATCAAATTAATTCAAGATACAAATATTAATATTAATTTTATTATCTTGATAGGACTTCCAGAATTTGACTTTCCACCTTTGGACCCATTATTTTACGAATACGGTAAAGCTGTGCTTAATTCTAGCGAGATTCTACGAGCAGAATTAATTATGTCAAATATCACTGCCATCGGTTTATCAAAATCTCGTATTTTTAATGCAAGAACGCAGTTTCTTTCTCATGACGTTTTCCGTTTGGAGATTGAGGTACAAATACCAGAGTTATTTCTAAAAGGTGCTGCGAAAATAAATGGTTCTTTAAATGTATTCAGACTTGTTAATACAGGTACGATGATGAGTTTTATATAATCTACAGGAACAAAAAAATATAATTTATTTTGAATGTATTTCTATAATAATCAAAAATTAACCACATATAGTCTATGCATAAAATTATGTTTTGCATTAGAAATTAGTAAAATTATAATCTGATAATTATAATTATTTATTATTTTAATAGATCCGAAAATTTAACAATTTTACGTATATGGAAATGTTATATGTGTAATATATTAAACACATAAATCCATCTTTAACATAAAATTAATAAAATTATTGTTTTATATACACATACGCGTATATATGTAGTATTTTTTAAAGAAATAATCATGATTTTTTCTAATTATTGTTGTAATATGGACAAATACTCTCTATTTCCATCATTAAAACAATTTATATAACAGGTTATTTTAATATAACCTTGAATGATGTCAGAGCACTAGGGGAGATAACAGGACATGTAATAAACGATACATGGATTATTGAACAATTCCATATCACTCCATTAGTTGGGAAGTTTAAAATATATTATAAAGATTTGTCCGAAAGCACCAAAGAGCTTTGTAAGTATTAAATTGATTCAAATATACTTGCATTTGTTGGTATTTCGTCCAGTATGCTTTGAATTACTTAAATAAAGACTCATACTTAATTTACTGTTTAACAATAGATATATATTATATACACCTACTTAAATATATTTTCGACATAGAAGACTTCTGAAAAAAATTATCTGAATACAGTTAACATATATCAACAATTTAATTTAATGAAATCTGAATTATACAGATATTTTAATTTACGAGTTATACTATATCTTTATAATGTTATTTTTAACCATACGTATATGTACAAATTATGAATTATTAGTATTTGATTAATTATTCTAACTAAACATTTATCAGTTTAATTATTTTGAATAATTAATTAAATACTAATAATACATAATTTGTACATACGTACGATTAGAAATTATATTATAAATAGCTGTTAAATTCAAATATCTATAAATAATATGTATAATTCAGAAATTAAATTGTTGATATATGTTAGCTTTATTAAGATAATTTCAGGAATTCTTCAGAAATCTTCTAAATATTCTAAATTTATTTAGAAAACTTTTTACGATGCATTTATTACGTTAAATAAGTTATAATAATGAGATAAGAACAATTACTGATTTAAAAAAGTAAAACTTAGAAGTACATATGTTATTATACAAATTAGAATCATATTTTATCGTCCTTTATTGCAACGTTTTTATTTATTATTGCTATTTTTCTAGTAATATTCTAATTTTCTAAATATAACATCACACGATAGAAATAATTATCTGTGTAATTACATTTATATTTATATATTGTAATTTTATTCATATATTTTCCTAATTTGTTTTTTTTCTGAAATACGTTGTTATGTATCTATTTTTATTTTCAGCTGATCTTGTCATAACTTTTGTAAATGAATTCTGGCCTGCGATTTATCGAGCAGTATTACCAACCATGTCCAAAGAATGGGAAAAGTTTTATATTGATTTGGCCAATAGGTTATTCGCAAAAGTTCCCTTCTCAAAAGTGTTTCCATAAAATTTATACATTTATTTCACATCATTATAGTGTAAATTATTTGTAAAATTAAAAACACATTTAGTATTATAAGTGCAAAGATATATGGGCGATTTCTCTAAAGCTCTGTAAGTTAACCTTTGTTTTGTAAATTAACTATTGTTTGTGAGCAAAATAAATGAATAACTTAAAGTATTAATTGAAACGCAAAATTATTCCTCACCTGTTCTTCATGTCCTTAGATTATAAACAATATCATATTTCCGAAAAAAATATTATCTTTTAACTAAAAACAAAGAAAAACGTTTTGAAAATATTATAACTTATTCTCACAGCCTTTTCAAAGGATTAAATTGTAAAGAATTAAATTTTTTATTACTTGAGCACATAAAGAGTGTTAAAAACCCTTTTCCTTTCTTTTATGCATTATTAATCCTTAGTAACTTCTTTAAATACAAACTATTACAAGATCGACAATTGGTAGTTAACAAAACAAATTTTTTATTGTTAATGCTTATTCTACTTTTTAATCTAAAATAGCAGCAGAAATAAAAAATAATAAAATAAAGCTGTAAAAGAATTAATATTTATATAGTGATTGAAAATTTAGGATTTAATTAAATCCTATAATACGAAAATTACATATAAACTTAGCAAATTCAATTTTATTTTTGTATTACTTCTCAACTGTTAAAATTTGCTATTTCTCTTCATAATAATTTGTACATATTTAGGTATTAAAAATTATATATAAATATAAATTATTTTATATAAAAAGAATTATATAAATATATTTTGTTTGTTAATGTTAACAATGCGGCTCGTAAATTAATTTATAAAATTACATCACAAAATATGTATTCTATAAAACAAATTTGCATTGCAAGTTAGTTATATACAATATTCTAAAATTTAACGATAGTTATAATCAAACACACTGTAAATATTTACGTCTATTAAGCTGGCACAACCACTTCAACACAATCAAACGCGACTTATACCACATTTTTTTGCTATTTTTTTGCTAATTTTTTGCTCTATTCCCGATTTTTTTGCTCCAGCCGATTCGCTAAAACCCATGGCTG